TTGCTGAGCCAAAACTCTATTAATATAGAATAGCTTAGGAGGCAATTTTAGGGGTCTCTGATAAACCTGTAATCATAGTACCAGAGAGAGCCACTGTTAACATCTTGGTGTATGTCATTTATACACACACATATCCACACACACACACTCATACCTGTATGTGTATATACGTATACACACACATATATATACAAATATATGATGTATATGTGTGTGTATATATGTGGGTGTGTATATTAATATATAATACATATGAATATTTTAAATGAAATTGAGATCTTACCAAATATATTATTTTTGCATCTTGCTTTTCTGAAAAATTGCACTTTAAACAGTCTCTCTTATTATCAATTTAGCAGAGTCATTTAACAATTACTGTAATGTGATGTAATCCATTAGAATTTTCTTTTAAAGATTTTATTTTTAAGCAAACTCTACACCCAATGTAGGGCTCAAACTCACAACCTCAAGATTAAGAGTTGTATGCTCCACCAACTGAGCCAACCAGACATGCCTATAATTTTCTTTTGAGTAGATGCTTTTATTTTATAAATCCTGGTTTATGAGGTTTTTAACTATTTATTTCAAAATAATTGTAGATTCACAAGAGATTGAAAGGAATATACACCGAAGTCCCATGCCCCTTCTTCCTACCTCTTCTAATGGTAACAACTTATACAACTATGGCACTACATCAACATCAAAATATTTTTTTAAAGATTTATTTATTTATGATAGACGGGGGGGAGGGGCAGAGACACAGGAGGAGGGAGAAGCAGGCTCCATGCAGGGAGCCTGACGTGGGACTCGATCCCGGGACTCCAGGATCACGCCCTGGGCCAAAGGCAGGCGCTAAACCGCTGAGCCACCCAGGGATTCCCTCAAAATCAAAATATTGACATTGACAGAATCTATAGTTTTAGATTTCACCAGTTACACATGCACTCATGTGTGTAGCTCTATGAAATTTTATGATCTGCAGCCTTGCATAACTATCTCCACAAGATCAAGAGACTCAACTGTATTATCCTTTAAATCACTCCTTCATAGCTACACCCATCTCATGCCCCCCATCCATCCCTAATCCCTGGTAACGACTAATCTATTTTTTATTTCTATGTGTTATTCCATGAATGATACATAAATGGAATTATGCACTAAATGTACTTTTGAGATTGGCTTTTTTCATTCAGTTCCTTGAGGTTCATTTAAGTTGTTGCAGTTATCAATAGTTTGTTCCTTTTTATTGCTGAGCCATATCCCATGCTATGGATGTGCCACAGTTTGTTTAAATGTCAACCAATTGAAGGACATTTGGGAAGCTTCCAGTTTTTGGCTATTATGAATAAAGCTGCTATGAACATTCATGCTGTTTGGACACAAGTGCTCATTTCTCTGGGATGAATGAGCAAGAGTGCAATTGCTGGATTGTATTATAAATCCATTTTCAGTTTTTAAAGGAATTGCCAAACTATTTTCCAGAGTGACAGCATGCAACCTACTTTTTAAACTTAACAATATGTTGTCAGCAATTCTTATCATAAGGTATTTTCCTATATTAAATATTCTCCTAAAATATGGATGGCAGTACCTAATTTCCAAACCAATTTCCTAACTTTGAGTATTTAGGAATATTTCTGATTTTTATGTTATAACTAATAAAATAAAAAATATTATTGTGGATAAATCTTTGTGCCTATTTCTGATTATTTCCTTAGTATAAATTCCTAAGACATACTGGTTTAAAGAGTATGAATGAACATTTAAAAATTTTTTGCTATGTTTTTTTTTCAAATTGTCCTACTGAAAAGTGTTTCAATTTAAAATCCCATAGCAATATATGAGAATTGGGCAAAGTTTCCAAAACTACTAATATTGCAACACAAATTACAAATAATTGGTATCTTTAACATATGAATAGACCTTACAAGTCAACCAAAAAACTAAATGCCCAATATCAAGATGCCTTGGGCTACAAGTGATAGAAAACTCAAAATTTTATAAATAGAGAGACATATCACTTTATATAATAAGAAGTCTAAAAGTTAGGCAACTTCTGGATTTGCTGATTTCACACAACTTTAATATAAGGCTCCACAGTACACAGACTAACAGTGCAGGCACTGAAGCTTTACTGTTGGATTAACATCTCAACTCTTCCACTTACTGGGTGTGTGTCATTAAGCAAGTTATCCTACTTATGCCTCAGGTTCCTATTTTGAAAATGGTTATAGTACTATCTATCTCATAGGATTGCTGTAAGAATGAAAAGAGTTTATATATGTAAAATACCCATTAAGTGTTGATATCATCAAAAGCCTAGGTTCTTTCTATTTTTCTGTTCTGCCATCCTTGGTATGTTAACTTTATCTTCAATCTTCAGACCTCACAAGATAGCTGCAAGAGCTTTAAGCACCATATCTCAGACAATCAGAGGTAGAAGAGACTAAGTAGTCTTCTCTGTTACTAAATAACAAAGAAACCTTTCCAAACAGATCTCTTTTTATCCTGCTGGCTAGAAAATGCATTACCCAACACCAACCTGTTAAGAATTTTTTTTTTTTTAAAGATTTTTTTTTTCTTAAAGGAGAATGGAATTGCCATGATTGGCTTAAACCAATCAGGATTTACCCATAAGTTAAAACCACTTTTCCTGTGGGTAGAAACCAAACAAGTTCTTTTAACAGGGAAGAAGAAAGAAATGGATATCGGGTGGACAACCAGAATGTCTGTCACGTACCATATTAGAAAAATGGGCAGGGCAGCCTGGGTGGCTCAGCGGTTTAGCGCTGCCTTCAGCCCAGGGCCTGATCCTGAAGACCCGGGATCGAGTCCTACATCGGGCTCCCTGCATGGATCTTGCCCCCACCCCCCTCTCTTCCTCTCTGTGTCTCTCATGAATAAATAAAAAAATCTTAAAAAAAAAAAGAAAAGTGGGCAACCACACACACCAGCAATTCATAAGAAATGCAAAGTCAAATAAATATGAAAAAAAGCTCACCTTGATTAATGAGCAAAGAAATGAAAATTAAAAGTTTTTGTATTTTCTCTATCAATTTGGCAATGATGAAAAAGAATGATAATAATCTATAATAGCAGTAAATATACAAGGTGCCTAGGAATAAATCTTTTAAAAGATGTGTAAGACCTATATGGAGAAAATTACAACATTTTACCAAACAACATTAAAGACACAGGGACGCCTGGGTAGTTCAGTGGTTGAGCGTCTGCTCAGGCTGAGGGCATGATCCCGAGATTCGGGATTGAGTCCCACATGGGGCTCCCTGCATGGAGTCTGCTTCTCCCTCTGCCTCTGCTATGTCTCTGCGTCTCTCTCATGAATAAATAAAATCTTAAACAAACATTAAAGACACAAATAAACAGAGAAATGTACCAAGTCCATGGATGGGAAGATTCAATATCCTAAAGTTGTCAATTTTCCTCAAATTAATTTAGAGATTTAAAGTAATTCCAAGCAACATATTTAGAGTTCTGTGTTTTGGTTTTTTTTTTTTTTTTAATGAATGGACAAATTATTTCTAAAATATATATGAAAGAGTAAAGGCCCCAAACTAGTTAAGACCCTCTTAAAGAAAGATATATGGCAAGGGAATTTTTCTTAACCAGATAGCAAGACTTTTTATAAAATAAGACAATAGTAAATAAGATAAGGTGATATTGGGTAAGGGATAGGCAAATTTAGCAATGGAACAAAATACTCCCCAGACAGACTCACCCATTATAGACACCTGGCATATTACAGTGGTAGCATTGAAATCAATGGAAAAAGAAAATAAAATTGGATTCCCACCTTTCACCCCACATAGAAAGTAACTCAAAATTAGTCATAAATTTAAAATTTTAAATTATTCAGAAGGAAAAGATAAGAGGTTACCTTTAAGCCTTTATATCAGAGAGGGATTTTTAAAATAAAACATGAAAAGCATTAACTATACAACACAAGGTTGATGCATTTGATCATATTTAAAATAAAGAACTCTGTTCAAAGACAACTCAAAGTACGTAAAATGACAACACATGAATTGAGAAAAGATATTTATATAAAAAGTGAAAAAGATTAGTGTTCAGAATACATAAGGTACTTCTACAAGTCTATTTTTAAAAAGATTTTTAAGAAAGTAGGCAAGATGGGCAGCCTGGGTGGCTCAGCGGTTGAGCATCTGCCTTCTGCCCAGGGCATGATCCCGGAGTCCTGGGATCGAGTCCCACATCGGGCTCCCTGTGTGGAGCCTGCTTCTCCCTCTGCCTGTGTTTCTGCCTCTCTCTCTCTCTGTATGTCTTTCATGAATAAATAAAAATATTTATTAAAAAAAAAGAGAGAGAGAACCACAAATACATGTAACAACATGGACGAATTTTAGGAATGTCATACCAAGTGAAAAAAGCAAGTTGTAGAAAATTACATTATAATGCCATTTGTTAAAAACTCCAAACCAAGCAGAACTAAACAATATGTTGTCTAGGGATATATATAATACTTTTTAAAAAATAAAACAAAGAAAAATCAATCAAAATTCAGTGGTTATCCTTGGGTATGTAGGAAGACAGGGAAATGGAGTAAACAAAAACACACATTAATGAGATGGTTCTGGCAGTATTTCAGGGTTTTTTTGTATACCTCACATATTTTTTTAAATTGTAGTAAAATACACAGAACATAAAATTTACCATTTTAACCTGTAAGTGTTCAGTGCAGTGGCATTGATGTATGTCCATCACCCACCATCCATCTCCCATCTCTAGAACTCTTTTAATGTTGTAAAGCCAGAATTCTGTACCCATTAAATAATAACTTATGTCTCCCTCCAGCCTCTGAAAATTACCATTCTACTTTCTGTGTCTATGTTTTTAAGAATCTTGGTTTTTAAGTTGAGAGGATGTGCCCATGTATGTTCATTTTGTTGTCATGCTTCATAACTTGCATAACTATATTATACACACAACATGTATTTTTTTTACATGTATAAAATAGTACATACCTTATGTTGCAATGGCCTGATGCTGGAAAAATAAAGAACAACAATATCTAAAATTGGTCAGAACATGCTAAGTGTTAGCAAGCATGCAAATTGGTACAATTTTTAGGACAATTCAAACTTAACACAAAATTGAGGAATATATTATGGCTTTTGGGAGGTACGGTGTTTTCAATTTTGGTTTCTAATTATTCGTTGCTAGTATACAGAAGTAAGATTGATTTTTGTGTGTTGACTTTGTATCCTTGCTAAATTCACTAATTAGTTCTAGGAGGGGTTTTTTATCATTGTTGTTGATTCTTCGGATTTTTTGTGCGGACAATAATTTCTGTGAATAGGGAGTTTTCTCTCTTTCTAGTCTGTATGTTTTTAACATTTTTCTTACCTTACTGCACTGGCTAGGACTTTGAGTATAATGTTAAATAGGAGTGGACATCCTTGCCTTGTTCCTGACCTTAAAAAGAAGGTGGTCTTTCACCATAAAGTATTATATTAAGTGCAGGCTCTTATTGTAGGTGCTCTTTACCAAGTTAAAGGAGTTCCCTTCTATTCCCAGTTCTCTGAGAATTTTCTTTAATTCACTGGCTGTCGAATTTTGTCAAATGCTTCTTGCATCAATTGATATGATCATGTGGTTTCACTTTTTTTATTGTTAATATGGGTTGTTAAGGTGATTAATTTTCAAATATTAAAAGAGCTTTGCATTCCAGGTTTGAATTCTATTTTGTAATGATGTATTAATCTTTTTTATGTATTGACTTGTTAATTGGTTACAGATTTGGACTTTGTGCCTTGAGGGATACTGGTCTGTAGTTTTCTTGTCCTAGCTTTGTCTGATTTTGGTATTGATGTAGCTTTTTGGAGGGCAATTTGTCAATTGTAACAAATGTCTTTAAAATGTGTGTCAGGGGATCCCTGGGTGGCTTAGTGGTTTAGCTTCTGCCTTCAGCCCAGGGTGTGATCTTGGAGACCTGGGATCGAGTCCCACATCAGGCGCCCTGCATGGAGACTGCTTCTCCCTCTGCCTGTGTCTCTGCCTCTGTGTGTGTGTGTCTCATGAATAAATAAATATTTTTAAAAATAAAATAAATAAAATAAAATGTGTGTCGGTTGTAACAAATGTCTTGAAAAATGTGGCTCAGTTGGTTAAATGTCTGCCTTCAGCTCAGGTCATGATCTCAGGGTCCTGGGATCAAGCCCCACATTGGGCTCCATACTCAAGGGGGAATCTGCTGCTTGCTCTCCTGCTGTGACCCCTGTTGTTCACTCTCTGTCAAGGAAATGAATAAATAAAAACTCTTTTTTCTTTTAAGTGTGTGTCCAAAGATTCTAAGAACTTAAAGAAATAGGGCTTCTCATTACACAGACTTTGGATTCAGACAGACGTAGATTTAAATATGAACGCATCCCCTTTACCAACTGCTTAAATTTTGTGGTTGCTTTCCTGTAAAATGAGGGTAAGAGGACCTACCTCATAAATTGCAAGAGATGAGCTAAGGCACACACAGCGCTAAGTCAACAGTAGCTCTTGGTATTATGTTATGTTCCCCAGCCTCTGTAGTCTGTTCAAATGGAAGGACATCATCTATGCTTCCACGTAAGCTCCCACTTTGAATATCCTTACTGGAGCGTATTCGGCCTCCTCATCCCGGATTCCCGTCTTATGTTAGATGTACGAGGCGCTGGGAATGCAAAGGCAACAAAAAGATATGGTTCCTGCCCTCAGGGAGCTGACTCTATTAGACACAGGTGCGAACCAACCAGTTCCATGCGTATAAGAGCATCATAATGGCCTGTCTGCCCGAGGTGCAGAGGGTCCCGGACACGCACTCTGAGCGTCTCTGCCAGGAGAGCCGGTGTTCGCCTGGGGACCAGGGCAGCGGCTTGTGTAGGGCAGCCTCGGATCTCGGGCGGTCGGGGGGGCGGGGGGGCGGGGGGGTGTCTCCGAGACTAGCTGTTTCCATAGCAATGGGACTAGCTACCCTCGTGGGGCCTCGCCGCTCACCTCTGGTTCAGCGTCGGAGGGACCCAGAAAGGCCACTTCCGGTCCTCCCGCCTGGGGGCTCGCTGACGCTCGGCGGCAACTGAGTAACTCGAGCTCCTAGCCGCTGATTGGCTCAGGCAGGTGGAGGGGCGGGACGTGGCATCGAGGGGCGTGGCCTGAAGACTCTCACACTGGCGTTCTCGTTGCAGAGCGGAAGCCGACTTCGCCCGCCCCGGAAGTGCAAAGACCGAGCTTGTGCAGGTGTGGGATCCGCCGGCGAGGCGGCTGTTTTCGAGATGCCGGGAGCCGCGGCTGAGGGCTCGGAGCTGTACGGGAGCATCGAGAGTTTCGTGGAGGCCCTGAAGCGGGACGGTGGGCGGCGCAGCTCCGAGGACATGGCTCGTGAGACCCTGGGGCTGCTGCGCCGGATCATCACCGACCACCGCTGGAGCAACGCAGGTAAGGCGTGTTGGTTCTGTCGCGTCCCTCGCCACTATCCAGTCCCCAGGCGGAGAGTCGGCCAGGCCTCATCTCGCTCGTGCCCTCTCACCCTCTCTCCCTCGGACCACAGAGGAGCTGATGGAACTTGTCCGCCGAGAGGGCCAGAGAATGACGGCTGCGCAGCCCTCGGAGACCACAGTGGGCAACATGGTGCGGAGAGTGCTCAGGATCATCCGGGAGGAGTATGGCAGGTCAGGATGTGGGCCATTTTTGCACCAGTCCCTCTCCCTGGTTGGAGCCCTTAGTGGAGCTGAGCAGCTCCTGTTGCTTAAATGACTACGTCTCCGCCCACCTCCCTGTTTGGATCTTGTTGCCTACTTAGACTCCACGGACGCAGCGATGAGAGCGATCAGCAGGAGTCCTTGCACAAACTCTTGACATCCGAAGGCCTGAGCGAGGATTTCAGCTTCCATTATGCCCAACTCCAGTCCAACATCATTGAGGCAATTAATGAGCTGCTTGTGGAACTGGGTAAGAGTCCTGAACCCTGATCACAGGGCAGGTTACAGGCAGATGAAGGAAGAGAAGACCCTAGAAGTTGTTCATCAGCAGAGATGGGAGATAACCAGTCCTGTGGTTCTCCAAGCTTTGTCCTCTGTCCTGATTTAGAGGAAGGGTTGGAACAGGTGGCAGAATTAAGATAGCCTTCTCTACATTTCCTTACATACCAGCCCTTTATAGACTGTGGATCCACTGCTGCAGAGACTATTAGGACAGAGCTATATTTTCACTTTAAAGATGAACTCCCTAAAACCACAGATGATAGACTCTTTTTCACTAAATTTCTTCTTGAATTTTTATACACACAGATGCACCACCTCCATTCCCTTTGTCTTTGTGACCCAGGAGACCTGCAGGTATTCATTACAATCAAGAGTTCCCCAAGGGAGGAAGAGGCTGGGTCTGTGTGTCTGGAGCTGCTGCTTCCAAATTCCTCCCCTATTTTTCTTCTGTGGCCTCCTTCTCAGGTGGAGGTGTTGTGGCCACCTTTTAGAAGAGTTCTTTTAGGAGGAAACTGTTTACCCCACTCCTAGCACTTTGCAGTTTCTCAAATTGGACCGTTTCTTTTGCCTGAATTCATGGTCTTCAAAATGAATTATAGGGAGCTGGTGTTGTGTCAGGCAGGGTTGAGGAGGGGGGGTGGATAAGTGGATGAGTAAGGGTTCTGCTGGGAAAGAAGGTAGGCTGAGAACTTGGAAAGTAGAAGATCCCAGTGGGGCAGGGCTTTTCAGAGAATGTGACCTTCACATTAGGTCTGTTAATCCTGTTACCAGGGTCTGCTTAGGTGGGCCTTCTGTGTGAAGGACACCTGTCTCTGTCCAAGTTCTATCATTCATGTTTGTCTTGTGTTGGTGTTGTGGCATGGCCGTTTCACATTTTCCTTGCCAAACTGACTGTTCTTGCAGAAGGGACAACAGAGAACATTGCAGCCCAGGCGCTGGAGCATATCCACTCCAACGAGGTGATCATGACCATTGGCTTCTCCCGAACGGTAGAGGCCTTCCTCATAGAGGCTGCCCGAAAGAGGAAATTCCATGTCATTGTGGCAGAGTGTGCTCCTTTCTGTCAGGTAGGTGGACTGCTGGAGCTGCTAAGAAAAAGGAAAAACAAAAAGAATAAAGAAGTGGCATTTGGGGGATGCCTGGGTGAATCAGGAGTTGAGCGTCTGCCTTTGGCTCAAGGCATGATCCTGGGATCGAGTCCCACATAGGGCTCCCAGTAGGAAGCCTGCTTCTCCCTCTGCCTATTTCTCCCTCCCTCTCCCTCTCTCTCTCTCTCTCTCTGTGTGTGTGTGTGTGTGTCTCTCATGAATAAATAAAATCTTTAAAAAATAAAAAAATAAAGAAGTGATAGATGGGCTCCATGCCAACTTTCATTTTTTTTTAATTAATTTTTATTGGTGTTCAATTTACCAACATACAGAATAACACCCAGTGCTCATCCCGTCAAGTGTCCCCCTCAGTGCCCATCACCCCCACCCCCTGCCCTCCTCCCCCTCCACCACCCCTAGTTCATTTCCCAGAGTTAGAAGTCTTTATGTTCTGTCTCCCTTTCTGATATTTCTCACACATTTCTTCTCCCTTCCCTTATATTCCCTTTCACTATTATTCATATTCCCCAAATGAATGAGAACATACACTGTTTGTCCTTCTCCGATTGACTTACTTCACTCAGCATAATACCCTCCAGTTCCATCCACATTGAAGCAAATGGTGGGTATTTGTCGTTTCTAATGGCTGAGTAATATTCATTGTATACATAAACCACATCTTTATCCATTCATCCTTCGATGGACACCGAGGCTCCCTCCACAGTTTGGCTATTGTGGACATGGCTGCTAGAAACATCGGGGTGCAGGTGTCCCGGCGTTTCATTGCATCTGAATCTTTGGGGTAAATCCCTAACAGTGCAATTGCTGGGTCGTAGGGCAGGTCTATTTTTAATTCTTGAGGAACCTCCACACAGTTTTCCAGAGTGGCTGCACCAGTTCACATTCCCACCAACAGTGTAAGAGGGTTCCCTTTTCTCCACATCCTCTCCAACATTTGTTGTTTCCTGCCTTGTTAATTTTCCCCATTCTCACTGGTGTGAGGTGGTATCTCATTGTGGTTTTGATCTGTATTTCCCTGATGGCAAGTGATGCAGAGCATTTTCTCATGTGCATGTTGGCCATGTCTATGTCTTCCTCTGTGAAATTTCTCTTCATGTCTTTTGCCCATTTCATGATTGGATTGTTTGTTTCTTTGCTGTTGAGTTTAATAAGTTCTTTATAGATAGAGAACCCAGAAGTGGACCCTGAACTTTATGGTCAACTAATATTTGATAAAGGAGGAAAGACGATCCACTGGAAGAAAGACAGTCTCTTCAATAAATGGTGCTGGGAAAATTGGACATCCACATGCAGAAGAATGAAACTAGACCACTCTCTTGCACCATACACAAAGATAAACTCAAAATGGATGAAAGATCTAAATGTGAGACAAGATTCCATCAAAATCCTAGAGGAGAACTCAGGCAACACCCTTTTTGAACTTGGCCACAGTAACTTCTTGCAAGATACATCCACGAAAGCAAAAGAAACAAAAGCAAAAATGAACTATTGGGACTTCATCAAGATAAGAAGCTTTTACACAGCAAAGGATACAGTCAACAAAACTCAAAGACAACCTACAGAATGGGAGAAGATATTTGCAAATGACATATCAGATAAAGGGCTAGTTTCCAAAATCTATAAAGAACTTACTAAACTCATGCCAACTTTCAATTGATAAGCAAGACATTGAGAAGATAAAGTAAAACATGAAGGGAATTTTCAAGTTGTTCATCCTGTCAACATTCTTAAACACTGGCTGAGGAGAGTTAGGGGAAATGCTGGGTCCAAGAAAAGAAATATATTGGTTCTTTTAGGAATCAAAATAGGGTAACTTGCCTTGGGGGATGACTGATGCTCGGTCTGACCTCACTCAATCCCTATGTAAATAATAGGTCTTTAGAAAGGAAATAGGTAAGGATGCAGGAGGTCATAAAATAAGGAGCCAGGAACTATCCTGTCAGCGCTGCCTAGTTACACAAGCAAGTGGTATTTCCAGTTTTGTGGCTGCTCTAGTGCTTCTGTGGAAAATTCAACATTTATTGGCTTCTCCTGGGCTTCCCTGCAGCGTACCAGAGAATACCTACCATGGGCAGAAAAAGGAATTACCTGTTGGCAGTTGTGTGTTGGCTGTGCCCAATATCACAGAATTTTCCACATCCAATTCCTTTGGAGATGCCTTGCACACTCTCCCCACTCTCTTCTAACATCAGGCCCTTCTTTCCTATTGCAGGGTCATGAAATGGCAGTCAATTTATCCAAAGCAGGTATTGAGACAACTGTCATGACTGATGCTGCCATTTTTGCTGTTATGTCAAGAGTCAACAAGGTGGGTGTATTTGGAGTTATATTGAATTCATGAAGATTATACTTCTAAAATACAGATTTCTTTTTTCTCCCCCCTATAATATCCATGAGAAGAAAGCTTCTAGTACCTTTTGAAAGTATATACTTGGGGCTTTTTAATATATTACCTGAACTTCTTTTCCCTTTATCTGTATCATTGTTCCTCACTTCGATTAGCTTCTTTTTGTTTTTGTTTTAAAGATTTTTTCAAGCAATCTCTGCACCTGACATGGTGCTTGAATACAACCCTGAGCTCAAGAGTCACATGCTCTACTGATTGAGCCAGCCAGGCACCCCAGAGCAGCTTCTTTTTTATGAAAGCATCGAAGAGAATGAAATAGGGCTATGTTAAGTGTGGTAGCTGCTAGGGATTGGGTAGGTGGTCCCTGCCTTCTGCTCAGAGAGCTTGGCAGTGGTGGATGGTGAATAGAATAGCTCCTAGCTTCTCAGGAGGTGTGGTATATAGATTCCAGAAAAGACGGGGCTAAAAGCAGGAGATAGTAGCTTCTTGTCACATACTATACTCATTCTTTCTTTGGGAAGCTACCCTTGAGCTAGAACTCCTGGTCTTCACTGTAGAATCCGTTTTCCCTTACTAGTGCACGACCCTCAGTGTCAAGACTGAGGCCCGAGCATTTAGCCTGTTGTCCCCAAT